CATCTTTTAGGTTATACCTATATGAAGATGAAAAAATAGGTTTTTCTAACATGCAGATTTTATTATATTTTTATGATAATGTTGCCATTTTTAAAGTAAATATAACTAGTTGCTGCTTACATTGATAAGGAAATGCAAATGATGTTTGATGATTATAAATATAAATTACTGCTTGCTACCTTGCTATAGTTAGTTACAGAACAAAACATTTAGATCTCTTTGTATCCCACCAGTGTTACAATCTAGAAGGGAATTTAATTTCTGCTAAGATTAGGATTCTGGTTATTGAGTGAAAGTATTTTATTTAAAAATTCAATTGGTTCTGTCTTCTTGGAGGGAAAGAGGAGAGACCCAACTGTGCTTCTGTAATTTCCTTCCATAAGAAATTTTCTACCTCAAAAATCAAGGACTCTTTTTTTTCTGAAAACTGCGGACAGCGGACAAGGCATTATCCTCTGGCTGGTGAACAGGATGGATTTTCTCCTAAACGTCCCTTCTGCTTTCTACTTTGAATTATCAACAAGACGGCTTGGCTTATCTCTGAAAATAACCTTGTTGACAACACAAATATGGACTTAAACACGTTACCTCCACATTTAAGATTTAAGAAGCCCCCAGTAAATGTCAGGGGGTGTCAATGTTTTTGCTGTGATACTTGGTTATTATTAGTGTTTAACTGCAATTCCCCACCAGCGCCATGCCGCCGGCACCACCATAAATTTTAATGTGATCATGTGCTCTTCCCTTTTCATATCCAGTGAATTCTGTAAGATCATAATATTCTATATGAACCCTAGCTGAACCTTACTGTGATATGAAGGAAGAACAAGATTTCTAGCAGTGATAGTGCTTCATCATTTTATAGTTTTTTTTTTTAAACTGGACACCGAGAAACATGGTTCCTTGAATAATATTACCCTAAACTAAATTCATTCATTCAATTAATCTTTATTGAGCCCGTACAGGATGCAGGGCATGGCCCAAAGTGCTAATGAGTACATTTATGGGATAGTAAAGAATACTGATTCTTAAGGAAAGCTTTCTTCCCCCTTGGAAAATCTGTCAGAGCTCATACATCATTTATAAAACTGAAAAATATCTCTGCAACCTTAGTGCCACTTCATGCCTTTTATTTTATAGAACACAAACAAAAGCACAGCCCTATATCTGGTCTATGTTGTGAATAAAAGAAATATATCTATCATCTTTAGGCATGTGCTTGATTGGATATTTATTCTACATATTTCTATAAATAGAATCTGTATACTGACCATTGATCTGCAGGGTTTTATTCCTCATTTTAACTATAAATAATAACAGGAACTACCCATTCCTGGTGGTTTTTGGAGGAATTCAAAGTTTGGTAAATTCTAACTATTTAAATATCTCTTTAAAAGCAAAAAATAATATTGAAGCTTTCATTGTATAAATTTAAAAATCCAGGCCAGATACATTCAACAAATTAACAAGTGATGGGTGTGGTTACCAGTGAACTAGATATGTCCATCATTTTATATCAAATAGCCTGTGCTACAAAATAGTTGTTTTTATTCCTTTTAATTTCTAAAGAAACAAAGCCACTTTGTTACCTAGCCATAAACCTGAATACTTTTGCAAACATAATTCTGAGTCAATACATTAATTTTCTGTGTGTGAAATCCCTTTAGGGTTAAAGGTTAGGAAACTGGTAAATATATTTACAATTTACTTGCCCCGTTGTTCATGGTACCAAAATATGCTTGGCAGTGGCACACAACTATGCATCTTCCCACTCCCAGAGACAATGGGCTTATGAAAATACACAACCAGGGATTCAAGGTCATATGGAGAAAGCAGTATTATTTATGCCAATAGCCAGTGGACCAGGAGGCTTTCAGGTTTGTCATCAAACAAGCCCATCCTGATAAGAGATTCTTGTTAAACAGACCAGCATTGTCGGTGTTTCTTCTAAGAAAAGCGCTTATTACCCAGTGGGGAGTGTGCCCCAGCATCTCCTGTGCAAGGAGAAAAGCCACACATTTAAGGAAGGTTGGTAAAGATTTTTTTTTTTTTTTGTCTTTTCTGGCAACTGGCTGGGAAACTTTGCCTTGGAGCACCATCTAGAGGAAAATTTAGTGCATACACCATTCCTGGCTTTTTGATCCAGGTGCATCCCATGATTGTTGGATGGTGAATATTTCTTTCCAGATAAATAAGAAAATTTTGGTTCTAATTCATCACATGGAAATAGCATATGAGATATCTTGATAGAAATAGAATCACTGATGAGATAAAACCAGTTGAAGACTCTAACAATCTTCAGGAGTGTTTGAAGCATTAGTGCCCATTCATGGAAATAACTTGGGGAATCATTTTGCCATAGGCTGAGATCATATTTCAAAAATTATAAATGATGAGTGACTTAAATTCATTTTTATTTACACTGATAAAGTAAGCTTTGTTATTTTTTTCTTGATTATTTTCTTAATTTAAAAATGTCTGAATAACCAGATTTCATGGTCAGGTTGAAAAAAATGCTTGGGTTAGAGACATAAAAAAGTTGACATTTCGACTTATTATATGTAATTCTTTGTGAATTTCAACAAAACGTAATGAGTATAAGATAATAACTTTTAAAGATCCAGCTATACAACTCAATATAAGGGAGAAAAAAATGATATTCTCTATGGTATTCTTTTAAAGCCATGATTTTTTTCTTTTTCTTTACTTTGTGATCTTCCTAACATTCCTTAGAGAATTTTAACAGCAAATTGTTCTATTTTTAGTAGTATGAATACACAAACAAAACCCAAACCTTTTCTAACAGTGACACTCTTCAAGTCAGCTAAGCAGACATAACCTTACCCCTGAAATACTGTGAGCTTTGAGTATCCCCATGGTAGTGGTAGGGTCTGAGAGTTCTATTTCCTTTCATTTAATAAGTATCAAGTTGTCAATACCATGAAAATACTCACTGATGAAAGCTGAGTATATGTTTCTTTAAACTCTGAAATGTCCACCCTGACCCCGCTGTCCTCACCAGATTCCCACATCCCAACTGTTTTCATGTTTGTCATAAAAATTTGGCTTTGTCCCTGACATCTCTAACTCACAATACCATGGGCATTCCTATTTCCTTTGCTGAACAAGATTTCTGCTGGCTTATTTTGGCAACTCCATATATCTATAGGTTCTCCAAAACAATCAATTAATAAGTTAAATTTCTCTGTGAGCCAGACATACAACCTCTGCACACAGAAGTTGTTTCTTGTCTCTTGAGATCTGATGAAGAAAAGTAAAATGAAGGTGTTTTTGTTTTCAAGCAAGATTGACACTTGAGCAATAAAACTTCATGGTGCAAAGTATCTTCTGTCCACAATTGATTGACTGCTGCTCTGACTGGAACCCAATAGGAGGAAGAGGTCAGTCCAGTTTTCCAGGCCAATCTGCCTGTTTCTTAAGCAGAGAAGGACCTAAACTACAGGCCCTGTGTGGAGAAGGAAGACATTCTGGTCCCATCTTCATATGCTATGTGTACACTTGAGTCCAAGTGAATCCAAGGTATTTGTTGAAAACTTAACAAGCAGGTGACAGTACAAGGTGCTGGCAGGGCCCTCAATACAAAGGTGTTGAGAAAATAAGTGAATATTGTTAAAAGAATAAGAAATTCTCTCTTCTCTCAAGCAGTTTATTCTACAGGAGAATGAGAGATTGTTACCTTAAAATACACTGTAGAAAGATAGATGCGTTGTACCAGATACAGTTCAGAGACAGAAGTAATTATTGATGCTTTGGGAGAAAGCAGAAAACTTCCCAGAAAAACTGGCATTAGATCAATGCCTTAAAGGATGAGCAAAATTTTAATAGGCAGAGAACAGGGCAGAAATTTTCATGAAGAAAAAGCAAAAAGAGTCTTTTTTGTTGTTGTTGTTGTTTAGACTAAAAGAAAATGAGGAGGAAGGGGATTGGCAAGGATAGTGGAATGAGATGGTCATCATTATAAAAAGTACATGTATGAAGACTTGAATTTGGTGTCAACATATCTTATATACAAACAGAGATATGAAAAAAATCATAACCAAAAAAAAAAAGAAAAAGAAAATGTATTTCAGTTGGAATTCCCGATTTTTTGTCTAAATTTTAAACTGAGTGTAAAGATACAAGTGTTTTTAAAAATTTATTTTATAAGAATCCAAAACTCACATCTCATTTTGCATGTTAGGTATATTCACACACACACGTGCACATATGCACACATAGGTATATATATTAGTATGAGGTTAGTAAAACCCATGTATTTAAGCCAGAATATATTTTCCTTTATGATAGTTTAACAATGCAAGTGGAAATAAGGCCAAAACAAGCCTTAATTCTTGCCAGAAAATGGGAATGAATGGAGGATTTTGTTTCGATCTTTGCCACAAACATTTGCTTTCAGATTTCATTCCGAGACTTGCTTCTGGCTGGCTGCCCTAGCTATCTGCATAAAACAGACCAGCTACCATCACTGGGTTAGATTAGAGCCCAGGGGCACAGGTTTATAAGCCTAGTGAGCTTTTAAACCCTCAAAGCATCCACTCCTTCCTTCTCCTGTGGGCTTTCTAGATGTTCTTCCAAATAAGTTTTCTCTCAGGATTTCGATGATCCTCTGGGTAATGTTCACGCCTCCTGATGGCTTTCCAGCAGCCCAGAGAGTTTTACCCAAGGATCTTTTTGCTCCATTCCTCATCTCCATTGCTTTGAAAACCCAAATGTTTCTTTTGCAAAAGAACCAGTTTACAGAGAACACTAAAAAGAAGCTTCAGTCAACATTTTGAGGTCACATCTATTTTGAGGTGTCAATGATTTTACAGCTTTAAAGCTGAGCACTGTTGCCGAACATATACACTCACAACCAGGACAGGTAAGGACCGCCATAGAATAATCACATGGCAATTTTTTTTCCGAGAAATGAAAATGTAGAGAAGGCCTGGTGGTCTACATGAATGAGAGGTGACCTTCCACCATCACTGAACACTTACTGTTAGCATCGCAAACATGAGCTGGCACACATTGAAGGCGTGTCTCCAGTTGTGGTAAAGAACCATTCGATAATTCTTCCTCACTGTCAAAAGCCACCTGCACAGTGTCTGAAATAGGAGGGAGAGGTTATGTCAGGCACTTGCACGTGTCTCCAGTATCTTTGATGGTCCCACCATCAAAGCAATGCCTTGACAGATGATCAAAGCCTTCCAATAACACCCTCTCTGATTATCACGATACTCCCATGAGGTGTGCAGGGCAGGACTTATCATCCCTGTTTTGTCTTTGGTTCTCAATGACTAACATGGCATCCCAGGTGCACTCCTTCCATCACTCAAGACATCTTACCTCGTAGTCGATTTTAAATTTCTGCACCATCCCCAGCTCCATGAACATCCGGAGGGCAGCTGTGATCATGGCATCAACATCGAGAGAAAAGTCATCAAAATGAATGTCATCAATGGCCAGTTCTGACACCAGAGGGATGTTGGCTGCCTAAACAAGCAAAAGACATAAGTCAAGCCAAGTTCACTAGCTTTCTCAAACCCCACATCCTGCTCGCCTCCTCTGCTTATCAGGAGTGCCACATAAATCAGGCCTGACCCATACTTACACCCTGATACAGCTAAACTCTGAGCTGTAAATGTCTTTTGTTTCGGAACTGCAAATGCCCCAAGCAAATGAAGGGGGATGGGGAGGACAGCTAATCGGAAGATAAAATATACACTAGATCTAGTCTGCAGAATTTAGAATACAGAACTGTCTGGTTTACTGAAACTGCAGTCATACAATATATTCTGATGCATATTACAAAGCACTAAATGCAAGAAACATCTGGGCAGCTAGCAGCTGTGAATTTTAATTGCTGCTATTCACAATGAGTTGGAATATACCACTTTGCCTTGTTTCTTGTATTCTTATATCCTGTAGTTTGCACATGCTCTTTGTTACACACGTGTTCTGTATATTCAGGAGGGCAGAAAAGATTAGACAGCACATCTTTGGTGCAAAATGTGTTGTCTTGATAAAAGAGAAATACTTGGATGATTAACATAAACCTATGTTTCACTGAGGGGGTAAATTTTGCTATATTGTTTAACTTCATTCTATCTAAACATCACAACATAATTATACTATTGGTCATTAGTCAAGGTTTCCAAAACATCATTAGGCAGCTGTCGATCAATTGACCCACACAAACCTAAAGGGGAGGGAAGAAAATCTTTGGAAATTATTTTTGTACTGATTTCATTGGGTTTGCCACGTCCTTTGGGTCACTCTTGATAAAGGAGTCATTTTTATGTTTTCAGGTTATTCGAGACCATTCAGGATTCATATTCCTAGTCTGTTCGCTGGGTATAAATTACCCTAGGAGTAATTTATGCCCTGGGACTATTTTGGCTGAGCAATTAAATCCAACCCTGGTCACGCTAAACATTCCAGAAACCAAATAATCAATCCTTCCTTCTCAATTCTATGCTCCTCCATAAGAGTTTATATCTCTAAGCTAAAATCTAAACATTGGTTATTCCTAGTAACACTGGAAGAATAATGAATATATAAATGTGAAGACAAACTTTATTCTTAAGACTGTATATTTTCATTAAAACTTAATCCTTTTATCTTTCAGCAAATCATTTTAATGTTAACATATTAATGTGCTTAATATTAACACATTAATATGTTTAATATGTTACCATGTAGCCTAGCTCCTAAAATTAAAAGGCTTGTGAAATTCAAACATGGAATATTCTTTATATATGTGTGCCTTTGCTTAGAGTCCCTGACCCCATGCAAGCACTTTATTTATTTACTTAAAACTATTTTTAACCAAAGTTGTAAATGCACACCTAATTTAAGAGCAGATTAGATCTACAAAGTCTCTTTCTCTCTCTCTCACATACACACACACATGCACACACAGAAATACAACTTTCAAAAGTCATCTAGATAACTCTATATTTAGCAAAATAAGGTGCTTGCAATTTTACTTTTTGATTTTTATCTGTTGAAGGCATTATTAACTTTTCACCATTGAAAATGAAGATTAAGCTGTCTTACACTACTTCTATCCATCTCTTTTGGCTTTTCAATTTCTAATATGCATACTTTGTTGAGATGATATTCAGCATTTTTATTATTATGACTATGTAGGGTATTTATAGCTAAGTTATGCAAATTACTATGACTATTTTTCCTTGTCGTGACCACATTTTTAATTCTACAGAGTTAATAATTGTCTTTTTTCAATGGATGATGAGTTACCTGTGTACTTAACAATTAATTTAGTCCCTAAACTTAGTTACCTTAGTGCCGCAGTCTGGCTGGGCACAAAATCACGAGCCACTCAAGCAGGAACAAAGTTTATTTTTTGAAACTGCCGCCAATGTCCGGTACCGCCCGGGGAAGATTTTTTCCACCCACGCGGCCTCCTCCCAGACCGCAGAGAGAGCTCCTCCCCCAGAACTCCCTCCTACTGTACTTCCCCAACCAATGGGAACTCTCCAGGAGTCCCGTAGCCGGCCTAGGTGAACAGCAGGAGTCCAATATCCATAAGAATGCAAATCTTAACATAATCATATCATCTCAATGGCTAGCTGGCGTCACCTTTCGACCAAAAATGCCATGCATCATATACTTGGCTCTTAGCACCTTAGTCTCAACTTAAAATGTTAGATGCTTTGGACATCCCATCAAATTCAGGCAGAAACTGCCCCTGGAACTTTGTGCACCTCTCCAGTGTGCACCAGCTGTCTTCTACGTCTAAAGTGGTTTTCATCCTCTGGGAATGCCTTCCCCTCTCTTTTGTGTCTGTATCCCACACCTTTCCCTTTCTTGGTTTCTTTGCTCACTTTGGTGAGACACATCCTCTAATAGCTCCTAAGACAAGGAGTGGAGTATGTGAATTTGTGAGAACTTGATATCTAAAATGCTTTCATATTGTGTCACATTTTACTGATAGACACAGATTTCTAGGTTGGAAATCATTCCATGAGAATGTCAAAGGCAATGCTCTTTCAGCTTTAGATGTTACTTTTGGAAGTCAGAAGCAATTCTAGGCTCTGGCACTTTGAAAATAATTCCCTCTCCTACTTCATTTTTGTAGGAACTTCTCTGCTTCCAGAGTCCTAAATTGTTATGAAATGTGACTTGATATCAGTTTGTTTTCATCCATAATTCTAGTTACTTTGTGAGCTCTTTATTTTAGAAATCCATGTCCTTTAATTCCAGAAAAATTTGAAAAATAAACTCAATGATTTTTTCCCTCTCATTTTTTCCATAATTCTCTTTATTTGATCTTTAAACTGGCTCTCTCTCCTCTCTCTCTCTCTCTCTCTCTCTCTCTCTCTCTCTCTCTCTCTTTCTTCATTTCTTCTTTTTTCTCTTCATTTTCTTTTTTTATGTCTTTCTCCAAAATTTTAGTTATTTTACTTTTTGATCTATTATTTGAAAAATATCCTCTCTTCCTACTCTTTATATTTTTAATATCACAGTTTCTTTTTTAAGAACCTTTCTTTGGTTTTCTGGATATTCCCTTTTAATTTTCTAGTAGCACCCCAATTTTGTCTCATGGATGCAATTTCTTCTCTTCCCTCTCTGAGGATGTTAATGATAATCCTATTTGAACTTTTCTCCCTTCATAGTATTCATCCATCTATTTTCTAATTTCCAAAATGTTGTCATTGTTAAGCCCTATCCCAATCTCATTGGCTTTGAAAATTGGCCCTTAAAAATCCTTTTTTTTTTTTTTTTTTTTTTTACTGTTTTAGTAAGGTTTAGGGAGGGTACAAAAGAACTATCTTTATCTAAACATCACTGAAATTATCTTTATTAAATGATACTTTAAATAGTCAGCTTGAAGATCTCAGAGGTAAGCCTACCTTTGATCTTTAGTCCCCTTTCTACATGCATGAGCCAACCTAAAAGCACATGGATCTCTTCCTCTTGGCTGTGACCCTGTGAGTTTCCTTGTGAATGACCACACTTACTGAGTTGTAACAGTCCACAGCAGATGCCATGTTTCTTTTCCTTAGGAAAGCTCCAGAACAACTCTATTCCTCCCCATTATTATGGGTTAGATATTAGGTATCCCCCTAAAAGCTCATACAAGAACATTCAGGTATGAAATAATTAGGTTATGATAGTCTTAACCCAACCAGAAAATTAATCCCCTGATGCAGATTAACTGGTTGGTAACTGAAGGCAGGTAGGTTGTGGCTGGAGGAGGAAGGCATTGGGGGCATGACTTTGGGTATTGTGGGAAACCATGCATGAAATGTGTGAGGAACTTTTTCAGCATTGTAGCCAGTGACCGGGTAGATCTGGTACTGGCAACTTTCTGTGGCAGTTCCACCAGGATAGATCAACCAAATGCAAGTGAACTCCCCCTCAGCTCTGCTAAGAGCTCTCAAGCATAACCAGAGATGGGTGTGACCCGCTAGGAACTGAGCAGTCTATCTGCCCCCACCTCTATCCTGTTTGGTGAAGAACTCTCTATAGAATCTCTTTGATGTCTTTCAATACAAATTAAGCAAATGCGCGCTTTTTTCTTTGTGAGAAGCTGGACCCATCTGGTCAGCTTTGCCAGTGTCTACCCTCTCTTTGAAACTACTTTCTGGGTTCTGTGGTTATTTTGATATACTACTTTTCTTAGCTTTTATTTCTCAGCCAGCCCATCCCACTAAAAGGAAACTCATTCCTTCACCTGCTCAGGACGTAGGTGCTAGGGTCTACATTTTGTATCTCTTTCTCTGCTTTTTGATCATCATGTGAACCACTTCCCTTTCCCACACTCTTCCCCCATGATGTTTTGCCTACCTCAAGCCATGAGGATTGGAGTCAGCTATCTATGAACTGAGGCCTCTGAAGCCGTGAGCCCCCAAATAAACTTTTCGTCTAAAATTTTTATTGTCAGGTCTTTCAGGTATAATAGGGAAAAGGCTAATTAAAACAGAAATTGGTACTGAGTACTGGGGTCCTTGCTGTAACTAACCTGACATGTGATTCAGAAGCTTTTGTAGCTTTTTGGAATTTGTGGGAAGTTTTTTGGAAAGTTTAATTATGCAAGCTAGAAAAAGTTTAGATTGTTGTAAGCAGAGATTAATGGATATTTCTGGTGGGAGCTCAGAAAACCAGAACGGCGATCTGGCTGTGAAAAGACAGGGCCCATGAGGTTTCAGAGAAGAAAGAGGACTCTATTGGAAACTGAACTAAAAGCCATTCATGTTACATTATGGTTAAGAAGTTGTCTGTGCTTTGTCTGTGTCCTGAGACTTTCTTCAAGGCTGATTTAAAAAGCAATGGACTTCTTAATCTGGCAGAAGAAATTTCTAAGCAGTATAATATTCAGGTGGTGGCATGGATATTGCTGGCAGCTTTTAGCTAAGTTTATTATTATATTCGGAAGCAGAAAGCAGAGCATAAAGATTCGAAAAACTTGGACTTGAAAGGTGGCAGTAAAACTGGAGCTAAGGAAGTTGTAGTTGTTAAAGAAA